TAGAGGCATTAAATATGCAAAAACTAAAAGATAGAAGAAAAAGAGGCGATATGATCACTATGTACAAAACAGTAACAGGAATCGATAAAATTGATCTGGAAGAATTCCTGAGACCCGGAACTTCAAGAACAAGTGGTCACAGATTTAAACTAACAAAACAAAGCTGCCGGAGAAATATAAGAAAATTCACTTTCGCAAACAAAGTGGTAGACGGTTGGAACAAGTTAAGTGAGAAGGTGGTGGAGGCCAAGACCGTCAGTAGTTTCAAAGCGTTATATGACAAAGAGTGCTGGGAAGACGGGACACCAAGAGCGTATCTCTCATCCTGTAACTACATTTAGGGAATTACACACACACACACACAGTCTTGTACAGTAAAGAGAGTCTTTTAAGGTGTATAATATAACAATCTTTTCCACTATTTACAATTTCATGCTCAGAGTCCTTTGTTAATCTGTGTTTTCCAATTATTTGCAATGATTAAATCAAGGAATGCTTGCACACTAAACAAAGATAATATACTTATCCTCCACCTGACATCCCACATATACCGTGCACCACACACACATCCTCTACAATACCGGTGCTGTGCTCAACCTCTAATGATTTAGAGCATATGAAGACAAGAGTTAACATCGTTACATTCTACTAGAGCATTGTCATATACTTGGTCTGGTTCTGAAGACACGTTGGGATATACACTTTACCTTTCATAAATTCCACTCTGGTAACAACTAATCTATGCAACTAGTCCTCTTCACCTCCTTCTTAGATTTGTTCAACAGCCGCTCAAATAATATGGAAACAAGACTTGCACAAAATACCGCTCATTTCTTTGTCATTAACAGTTACCTAACCAATTTGGTCAAATTTGGTTGCTAGAAGTCAATAGAATGTATTGCATTTGATTTACAATAGTTGCTGTCGACAATAGATACCAAGTAAGGTTTGGATCCTTTCATAGGACATTATTATTTATAATCAGCCAGCAATACCTTGATTGTTGCCGTCGGAGGCGGCTAGTTTATTGTGCACCCCATACTCATCCTGTGAGCGGTAGCGCAAAAAGCATTACAGATGGCACAAAAGGTCTTTATCAGACCTCAGCTTAGATTATTGCAAAAACAATTTCATCTATCCTTCACACCTTATAGTTACAATATCAGCTAGTTACAGAGAATGTTCTATTTCAAGAGATTTCCCAAGTTACTGCCTACCGGTGGTCGCCTTCGAAACCTTGGCTTTCTCCCATGGCGAGACATTCTCCATTAAGAGAATTTTGTTCACCAGGAGGTCGTCTACTTCATCCTTCGAAGAACGAACACACAGCTCCACTAACTCGTGGTGAAGTATTGGCTTATTAAATAAAAAATAGAATTATCTTATCACTGAGCCCACTAGTCATATATAGGATATCCCTATGACAAAAGACAGAGGATACTGGACTTCAGGACACTGAAAGAATGAATAAGTAGGAAACAGTATACATGTTATAGATTAAAAGTGTAATTTTTAAATAAGACAAGGATTTTTTTTTCAAAGTGGCGAAGAAGAAGAGAACGAGGTACTATGAACGTAACTTAAACAGTAGAACCTGAATATAACGCTGACACAAGAACGGAACCCAGATACAAGACAAAAAAATGTCAGCGAGAATTTCACAAGAAATAAACGCTACAATGATCGCGCAAAAATACTAAAGGAGCCTTGAACACCTATCATTTCCCCACGAGTAATTTCCTATTTCATTTCCACTTTCACACTTTCTTCTTTTGTTTTACTATGTCAGAGGAACCTCAAAATTGGAGTTGTACCAGGCATACCCGCGCACGAGCTACGACGCGTACACCACGTTTCCCGCGCACTCATCATCATGCTGCTTCAGCGTAGAAATGTCAAAGCGATACAAAAAATGACTATATTTACGCCGATGAACTCAGTGTCTTCCGGACTTTCCGCCCTTGGCAATTTTACCGAGTGACTTGCAGCAACGCTTGAGAAAACGTGCACATGATTGGGGTACGTCGCCATCCACTATTCGTAAAGCTAAAATAATAAAATCAATCAATCTGAGACAAATATAAACAACACTAATAACTATAATTAACAACACTAATAATAAAATTAAATATTTACTTTGCCTAATATGATATTAATTATATAATTTCATGATTACAAAATGTGGCCTTAACACACACAACACAATCAATACAAGTAAAATGAAAAACACACCAACGGGAAACATTAAGAAAGGTCACAGACAGATAAGATCATTGTTGCAAATCAAACGCTTCTTCGAATTCCTCCGAAGTTGGACTCGTGCCCAAGATGCATCAGGCATTTCCTCTCTGAATGGTGACACTGAGGCGCTGGAACAAGAAACTTTTCGCTCTCTGGTCTTTTGTAACGCCGATCAATTTGTCACCTAATTCCTTCAGGAACTTCAATGCACATTTTCCCCACCAACCGAGGTGGGGAAAATTCCCGGACCAATCGGAACAAAACTGTAGCAGTGTGCCAGACCTCTGTGTTTGTTGGCTTTCTGCATTTCCCCTGAAAGAAGCAGCGCCACCCCCTTCGTGTGCTGTGGTGGAGGTAGGTACTGGCCAGTGTGGAAGCGCATGTGTAGTCCCACACCACTTGTTTACCATCCTTCAAAGGGAAGCAAGGTGACCCCGTGCCATCAATATGAATATATATATTATATATATATATATATATATATAAAGGGGGAGTACAATTGTAGGGACCCACAGCCTCAAAGAAGGGAACACAGAGCATTCAGAGAAAAACTTGCCATTTAACTCTGAATACATATGAGTGTTCACTTCTCCTACCACCCCCTATTTTTTGTGTTGTACACTTTATTATACAAGGTTATACAGTTACATATATGAGTGTTTACAAAAAATGAACATTAAGAGGACATAAGGAGAAGTTTGTTTTCTAGAGGCTGTAGATTTCCTCGAACTCCTCCGACGCCGGGCAGGAACCGAGGACGCAGCGGGCATCCCCCTCTGGATCGCGACACTGAGGCGCTGGAAGAGAAAACTTGCTGCTCTAGGGTCTCTTGTGGTGTCAATGAGCCTGGGTCCAAGATACTTAAGAAATCTTCTCGCACTCTCTCCCCATGGGCCTAGGGTCTCAGATCCTATTGGAACGAAGTTGTTCCGGTGATCTAATTCCCTGTACTTGGTTGACTTGTATCTTTCTCTGTGTATCGCCGCGGCTCCTGTTTGGCCGGCAGAGAGGTTGATGTATGTGGTTGCCACACACACACACACACACATTATATATATATATATATATATATATATATATATATATATATATATATATATATATATATATATATATATATATATATATATATATATATATTATATATATATATGTGTGTGTGTGTTTCATTGATTATGACTGCATATTGTGTTGATTTTCTAGCTCCGGATAGAGGCAGTTTCGACATATTTCAGTACATTTTACTTACCGACCACCAGCACATACTACGAGTATGGACTTGCTTCTCTGACTGTTGCATATTTAACTTCCATGAATATTCTCTGGTCCTATTTTGCTTCAGTTGGAAAAGGCTGTCCCTTCCACCTCTTAATGATATATATATATATATATATATATATATATATATATATATATATATATATATATATATATATATATATATATATATATATATATATATATATATATATATATACAAGGCACATTGGGTTTATGAGATTACATAGCATTGATGTTATTATATTCTTGCAAAACCACTAACACTCATAGCGTTTCGGGCAGGTCCTTAATCTAACATAATTTTTAGTTGGTAATTTGTAGCAAAATTTTAAGAATATTAATTGGTACATTGAAAGAAAATTTGAAGAAAATTAATAAGTACATTATAGTAAAATTGAGGATTATCAACAGGTGCATTGTGGCATAATTTGAGGATTATTAATAGGTACATTGTAGCATAATTTGAGGGTTATTAATAGGTACATTGTAGCATAATTTGAGGGTTATTAATAGGTACATTGTAGTAAAAAAGCCATTCAACATAACAACCATGATATAAATTGATAGCAGTAATTACAATGAAGTTGTATGGCTTAGGCCCATATATTGTGGGGAGTATATTGTTTATATCCCTCATTATTTAATATGTTGTATTCGTATATCCTCTTGTCCTTCTGTCCTCGATGGTTTTTGGTCGCGTTCACTTAAACTAGTCCTCTTATTTCGGGCACTGGAATCCTTGCAGCCTCCAGAGGTCTCTGTACAGAGGGCCTCTCAGGCTGTCTATACATGTTAAGACCCACTGACCAAAGGGCGAGGCTGTCGGTCCGCTTTGCTAGGTCTAGATTTATGGGTCCCCTTGGTAGGTCTTGATTCATGGGTCCCCTTGGTAGGTCTTGATTCATGGGTCCCCTTGGTAGGTCTTGATTCATGGGTCCCCTTGGTAGGTCTAGATTCATCGGTCCCCCTTGGTAGGTCTAGATTAATCGGTCCCCCTTGGTGGGTCTAGATTCATCGGTCCCCTTGGTAGGTCTAGATTCATCGGTCCCCTTGGTAGGTCTTGATTCATCGGTCCTCCTTGGTGGGTCTTGATTCATGGGTCCCCTTACTAGGTCTAGATTCATGGGTCCCCTTGCTAGGTCTAGATTCATGGGTCCCCTTGCTAGGTCTAGATTCATGGGTCCCCTAGGTAGGTCTAGATTCATCAGCCCCCTTGGTAGGTCTTGATTCATCGGTCCCCCTTGGTAGGTCTTGATTCATCAGCCCCCTTGGTAGGTCTAGATTCATCTAGCCCCAGACCTAGCTAGGCCCAGAACTAGACACGAGCTGTGTGTGCTAGTGTCACCCACCCAATTACTGCCCCAGATATAACGGTACGCCTTACCTAACTGACCATTCAGAGGGCCAGGCCATCATACTATGCGGGACTATACCTCTTATTCATGGTAGACACGTAACTCTACAGCGACTTGACTTACCATTCACTGCTGTGGGTGGCGTCTTAAGTTGTATTGGTAATCCACAGTAATCCTTTCCCTCCACTGATCGCTAACTTGCTCAACAGGCTTAGGAGGACTTTGGTGTATGTGTTAACTGGAAGGTAAATGAACTTTGCAAGAGTACTGTCAGTTTGCACGAGAGAAGGAGACGTACAACCTCCCTTATCAGAGTCGCGGCACACACTGGCTGTCAGCTGTGGCTGCCGGGGCCGCGTCCGAAACCTTGTGCATTAGGAGGTCACTCTCGACACATTTCATTCCCACCGCATCAAGCTCCAACTGTTGAGATGCGTGATACAAGCTGTATCCTTATGTGTCCTCCTGGTGAAAATGACTGAGGTTCTGGCCAAAGACAACTGTAATGCCATGCATACGCAGCAAAGACTCGTATATGGCATGTGTAGCGGGACACACCCACACAGATAATGGACAGAGCTTCTTTCACCTGATGTCTCTGTTGACTCGTCAGTAAATAGGTTAGCTGCTACGGGCTGTATCTTGGGAATGTCAGCGTGTGTAATTATCCAAGTCTAGTTAGAGAGTCTATAGTTAGTTAGTGACTCCATGAAAATGGTGTGTGAGGTCTTTATTATTAATATTATTTATTAAAAGTATTTAACTTAGGCCTACCCCAACCAGCCTATGTCTGTCCTGTACCCCAGACCATTCCCCCAACAATTTTGAACAGCAAAGTTTGGACAGACGACAGAGACAGACATATACTTTCGGGGAGTACCCGGAGTTACCCGTCTGTGCATGTCTCCCCCTCCCTTTCTTTATCTTTATCTCTACCTATCTCGCTCTATCTAAGTATGTCTTTGTCATTCCCGTCTTCCCCCACCCCCCTGCATCCCCCACAAGAAGCACTGAAACAAATATATGAGTCTCGGATGTTTTTATCTTCTCTTCCTTATTCATTGTTTCTTTTCAGTAAGAACTCTACGTTCATCACGCGCTATATTTCACACTCGACTATGAAAATAGCCTAGGGGTGTTTATAATGGCTAATATTTCTTAAAGCATTTAACTTAGGCCTATCCCGAACATATACTGGTGCTTATCACTAAGATTACAAATATTGAATGGCGTGATCTCTGACTCCACAGTGTTGGAGTTTGAGAAAGAGCTAATTATTAAATGTGGTTCAAGTTCAAGTTCAAGTTCAAGTTTGTTGAGACAAGAAAAAAATACATCTCAAAGGTATAGAGTAGCTTAGGCTATTTCTATCCACCAATTAAGTGTGATTAACGGTGTCAAAAGTTATAAGCAGGTCAACTAACAAGCGAATGAGGTATTTATTTTTGTCAAGTTCTGCATGTATCAGGTCAAGCATATTGTTTAATTTAAACCATCGTAATTAGTTTTTTTCTGGGATCTGAAGCCATAATGGCAAGAACTAAGAATATTGTGTTTATCTAGAAAGGAGTAAAATTATTTGTACATTAGTTTTTTTTAATATTTTGGAGAGGACTGATATTGCTTTAGTAGCAGTTATATAAAGAGTAATATAACTCTAGTAATAATAACTGCTCCAAACTCTTATTAGTTTCAGTGCAGATAATTATATGTGTCTGTTAATTCCACATAACCAATCCTAAAGAATTCCACATACCAAGAAGTTCTACACTACTTCTATTACTAATGGCAATGACAATTGCTAATGACAATTAGCAATTGCGATCAACGCAAAGACATTGATCGGTTTGGCAAAACAAGAAGAGAGAAGCTTGTAAAATAAACCCCTAGAACGCAATCCTCGTCCTACAGAGTTACAGCCCCGCTCCTGTGCCAGGTAAGTCCACCACGGGCTCACCATAGCCCGTGCTACTTGCAACTTTTTGTTCACGAGTAGCTGAATCTAAAACAACGAATCGTCGTCAGTCAGTGTAACTCGAATAGTGGTTTAGTACAGATGCTCGAGAGATACCGCAGATCTTCAACGTCAGCCCGGACGAACTACCACACGGCCTCTCTCTCTGGACTTCAACCACTACTGCTGCCACCTGCCGGGTAACGCTGCCTGCAACCTTGCCACAGCTATGACTTTCACCACGATCATCGCGTACACATCCGATAGCCTCATCGGTAACTACAGCATGCAGGAGCCTGTCCTGCAGACTCTCCGTCGCCGCCAGGGCACTGCTGGTGCTAGAGGACTCTCACCACAGCTGCTCCTTCATCAGATTCATTTACCACGTTCACTACATCCTGCTGCTCTGCCGACTCATGCACATCACCAGCGCAGTACAAGACCTACAACTTGCCTTGCCGACTTTCCGTCGCCGCCTAGACAATTCAGCTCTCCTTCGTTGTCCTGACTATACCTGCCTACATCACCTCCTCCTGGTGCACGAGCCCGTCCACACGACGCCTGTGTCTCATTTGATATTGGATCTACATGCTTCACCAACGACAAATGACGCAACAACCACCTTCTTCTCTCCTGCTACAACTACCCTTCGTAGTCTTAGTGATCGAAACTCCGCACGCTGCCTGCGTCTTTTGACACCTTTGACACATGCTCCACGATCGACCCCCCGGAACAATAACCTCATATTTCTGTTTTTCTCCAGACGTTTTCCCCGGCCCCTGGGAAGGGAGTATACTACATTTGTCCAAATATATATATTTTACTACTATCTGTGATTATTGTCATCACAACTGACGTAATAAAACGTTTCAGTCTAAAATTGTTGATTTCGGTGAGATCATCATTGGGCTTTCTCTAGTTATTTTAAGAATATCTGGGAAGGCTCGGAGCTCAAGGGACTGTGCATAGCAATGCTATCGACCTGTCCTCAGGCCAGGCTCATTAAAGTGGCGGCCGTTCCCCCAAGACGCATTCTTCAATTTTAACATACTGTGTATTACAGATTTATTATCGTATATAATTTAATATTGTTATATATTAAAGTTTAATGTACAGTTAGGCGTTGGTTAAGTTAGGTTGGGTGAAGCATTTGTAGAGTTGCCATTCGAATAAGGTCGTCAGCGAAGCACTGTTCGAGAAATGTTCGAAGGTCATCAGTTGTGAGTCGTGTGTAAACCGTTTTTCATTCATAAACAGGGGGTTTGGCGGGTGCATGTAATGGACTTTGGGTCTTTGTTTAGAGGACGGGATGGTGTATTAAATGTTCTCTTTCCACGGCTTCAATTGCACTTTTAACTAGGTTATAGGTTGACCGAGAGAGAACTTTTGCCAGCACTGACACACGACGGGTGACCCAGGCAGCGGTGGGTGGCTGACAGCTCCCGCAAGCAGCTGCACCAGGCAGTTGCTCGGGGCGGGCCTCGGGGACTCGAGCTCCTCAACACAACACCACACAGCCCGTCCTTTAAACAAAGACCCAAAGTCCGTGCAGCTGCTTGCAGGAGCTGTCTGCCACCCACCGCTGCCTGGGTCGCCCGTCGTGTGTCAGTGCTGGGAAAAGTTCTCTCTCGGGCAACCTATAACCTAGTTAAAAGTGCAATTGAAGTCGTGGAAAGACGAATATTTAATACACACAGATTAAGGAATCTTAGATATTAAAGGTAAAGTCAATAACAATGTAGTTGGAGGAGCTAGTAATCCACGAGGGTGGTCAGCCAGAAGAGTAAATAAATTACAATCGTGTTTATTCGCTGTATAGATTACCGGTAGATAAGCGAAGGGCGAGTATAGTCAGATGACGTAGGATGGTGTGGCAGCAAGTTTATGAAGCAGGAAAACCAAAACTGTCTTGAAACAGACTTGATTGTTACCTCTGGAGGCGGCTGGTTTAGGCATCTCCCACTCCTCTTGTTAAATCTTGTACTGTAACTGCTGTGTATGGCGATATAATTATACATATTGGAGTAAACATAATTTCCAGTATTCGAAACTAGTTAGGTTTGTAGCGTGGATTGATCTACACCTGAAAGGGGAATACGGTATTAGCATTTAGTTATTGTTTATTGGGACCCAAGTGAGCTTAGGTAATCGAATAACTCGAGAGGTTACGGCCTTTCCGTAGGGTGCAGTCGCACCTCCACAGATCTTCAGTATCAGATCTTAATACCTGTACTGGTAATGGCTCCAAAGGGCCACCACTTACGGGGTATTCATGCCCGTGCCACCTTTTGCCGGGCATGAATAAGCTTCATCAATCAATCAATCGAATAACTCGATATATTAACCCAACATTGAAACACAGTAAATCAAAATGTATTTTGTTCTAAATAAATTTAGTCGTAAACAATTTAGGGAATGGAACACTATCAAGCTGTAGGCAAAGTAATATCGGTAGACTGAGAAGAAATGAGACCATTAAGGGAAAACAGAAAGATGCCTTTGAAGCCGATTCCCTCGAGGTAGACAAAATAGCATCTATCTACTCCCATATTGGCATCCCAAGTAATATCTAGGAACTCTTCAATCCTCTGTGATATGCATAATGCTAAGTAGCTATATAGTACTGCCCTAGTATGTTTTAATACTGTAATTATTTTCCCATTTTCAGAGACTGGAAGCTTATAAAGTATGAGGTGCCTGAAGGCATCAGCTTGCCATTCCAGAGTATGCAATTTGCAACAGAGTTCTGGGTGCTATCAAAAATATAAAAAATATAGTACGGAGTTTAAAATATCAAACTATTTTTTAATGTTAAATAAAGCCATCACTGTAAGCATAGTGCTCACGAGGCTGTTAATTATTTATAAAGGTATCACAATGGTGTCAATCAAGTGCTGTTGCTTTGAGACCTGCTGGATTTTTATTTATTTTGTTGTTGTTGAAAGTTGTGTAATACACTTGTATTTCAGGGTACATATACTGTATAGTGGAATATCATTAATTTGTATATTGCATATAATAGTCATACTTAACAAAGTTGGCAGCACTACTAACCATTTTGCTTATGGGTTGCCTCCTGGTGTGTTGGCAACACTTTTCTTGCATGCAAACAGCACCATTCAGTTTGTCACATAATTAGTACTGATGATGTTGGATCCCTCGTGATCTTTGCACAGCAGATTGTGTTTAGCTGCACTATTATTTGACATGAAGTTGGGAGTCTCTGATCATCTCTCATGGTGATGATGCTTGTGCATCTGAGGGCTCAAAGAATTATGGTAATAGCTTTATTTTTAATTGATTGTAATGCTCTCAACCTAATGCTGGGGGAGATCTATAAGATAGTAAACTAGGGACCAAATGAACATCATGTACAACATTGTCATATTTAACATTAATACCAGTGTGCTTACCAGCAAATGGTTTTTAAGAGCACAGATGAGGAGTCACAATAACGTGGCTGAAATATGTTGACCAAACCACACACTAGAAAGTGAAGGGACGATGATGTTTCTGTGCGTCCTGGACCATTCTCGAGAATGGTCCAGGACGGACCGAAACGTAGTCGTCCCTTCACTTTCTAGTGTGTGGTTTGGTCAACGGTTTTTAAGTTTTCAGTCTCTCTAAACCTAAGCTGCAATTTGCTTACAATTTGTCTTTTAATACTTAGGTATTTGCGTTATCTCCAGTTTTCAGGGTTGATTATTAACATTAAAAATGGGTTGGTGGTTTTGTTTTGGGCATAGGGTCTTTGTTTTTTAAAATACGTAACAAGAAAGTAAGTGGTAGTGCTGGCTGGCTGGCCAGCCTAACAGCAGCTAGGCATATTTAAATTTATTTCCACTGTAGTTCTATCAATAAGATTGTAATATAATGAGCAATAATTTATACATTTTACAGTATGCTACACTAAACACTAACTACCATTGCCTTAAACAGAATAACAGTAGTTTTTGAAAAGTATCACTTTCTTCCTTTGTAAGTACCTTACAGGATCTGAAGGTGTGTGAATGTTATTTTGACTACAAATCCATATCTCCCTACTTAACACTACAGTCAATCTGGAACAAAACACCACCACCACCATCAGACAAGACTAGTACAGTACTTCATTTCTGGTTTTGTCTAATTTTTTTTTAACCTGTATTTCTAGAGGAAGGAAAAGTTTTCACTCAAATTCATCTGTTCATTCAAGGATGTCCCTAAGGTGCATGAATGCCTTACAGTAATGAAATGCATTTTAAATATTAAAAAGATTTACAGAAGTAAGAAATTAATAAATACAGTACTTAATAATTTTAATAAATATATAGGATCTCGGTAGTAAAGTCGAGTTTGTTCTTAATTCGGTTAAGAATTCTGAATTGAAATCCCAGACATTTCAGGAATGTTTGGGCATGTTTCCTTTCAACTAATGCCTCTGTTCGCCTAGTAGTAAATAGATACCACATGAGTTAGTTGGCTCATTGTGTGGTTACATCCTGGGGAGGCTCAGTAGTGTGACCCTGCATATCACAGTATGTACACAGGAAGCCCTTCTCCAACAAAAGGAATTAATTTTATTAAGTAAAATACAAATTTTTCTGCTTGTGGTGGTGGTGACTTCACATTTTACAGATTTGTAAATATATTTCATTTATATGCAATAAGTGTTATTTTGAATTGTCTTCCGAAGTTTACTACATTTTGTAAATTTGGCATTGGAGATACAAATATTATTTTTACCCACAGTGAAAGAATCAAGATGAAACAGTCACTGCTAGCAGTGGTGGTTGTAACAGCTGTGGTGCCTCTGGCAGCTCTAGCAGCTTCCAGGAGTCTGGAGGATAAGCAAGTGAACAATACACTCGTGAAACCTGCCCTGCTAAGAGAGGTTATCAACATCAGCAAAGATATACAGAACATCACCAGGTGGGCAGTGTGAATATTAATTACTGTACGTGACATTTTGTTGAATAATGTTATAATTAAAACTGGTTAAATTAGTCCGCAATCCTATTTAAGGATGTATGCCTGGAAGAAAGATGGTGCAGCTTTATCTTCTCCCACAGTAAGGGATTGGAGTATTACCTCATCAACTATGGTCCACTCGTCAAAATTTTCGTCACCGACTTCATGGACTCCTTTGGTATATCCAGAAACTTGCAACTTGCTGCTCCCATTGTTATTAAGGTGGGAAGATTTTTCAGTTTGGGTAATGAGCAGAATTAAAAATTTATTTAAAAAAATTTAAAATTTATATACAATATGGGGATTTATGATTAGCAAAATGAAGTTTATTGGAAACCTGGGTTTAGTGTTAAATTTTTACAGTACAAAGAAGTAAGTGTTTAGTGTAATCACAATTTTATGATGCATTATAATGTTCATCTTGGTAATAATAATATGATGTGATGACTGAAAATGTATTTTGGTTGTAAATATTAACCCCATACATTTAACATTTGATACAAGAGTGGATAATTCATGGGTAAGAAATGTACTGTATAGTCATTAAGTGTTTCAGACATAAAAGATAAATAAATAATAATCAGTTTATTGGGTTAATCAAACTAAATGCGAAGTTGGGAGGGAGGGAAATATCGGGATAAGTGCCAAGCCATTACGACTATATAGCACTGGGAAGGGGTCAAGATAAGGATTTGGGATGAAATGGGAGTAAGATTTAGCAGATTTAAAAGGTTCATTGATATTTAGAAACTACAATTTTGAGCAATAATAAATTTGGGAGGATACTTAATTTGCAAGAAATTTGTTTTGCTTAAGTCACACTCTTGGCATATCGAGTATTTATTTCTCGTGAGCCCTGTTACACCCCTCTAGGAAGTGTTTAAGAACAGGATTAGTACTGCAGTTTTATAGATACTACACACCCACTCTCTCTCGAGTGTACTCAATGACTTGATATGTAACATACTAAAATACAGTATTTATACAAGGGTGCTGTCTGGTACCTGGTACTGGCTGTCTGTTTGTCGATTTGTTAAGAAATTAAGGGGCAAATGTAGTTTTGGGTTCTAGATCCCTAGGCATAGATACTGTAGGTGGTGTATTTGTTCATATATGAACAAAATATTTAAATATAAGGTACAATAAGTTAAGAAAAAATATAACTATTTGAGGAAATAACTATTGCAGTTTGCAATACTACTACTTTCAGTTTGATTTCGTGAGCATTTTCATTTTGAACCCTTGCAACCATTTTTCTTATTCTCCTTTCTCATTGGGTTTTAAACTGCTGCTCTGCTACCCTCCTGATTTTTGTGTTCTCATTTCTGGCCATAAATGCCTCCAAGTTTACGTTTGCACAAAGTCCCTCCCGTATTCCTTCACCCACTTTAGTACTCTTCCTGATACACCAGCCTGTGTTTCTGGGTTGCATAGATGCTTGTGAACAGCGTCAAAAGCTTTCTGGTGATCTACAATAATTGCAACCCCCCCTTTTCTCCTATTGATTGTCAACTCCTTACATAACAAGTTCATACATATGCAAGATAGATGTTGCATGTTTTAATTATAAACATAAGGGATTAAATGCACTTGAATAATTCTTTTTTTTACAGATATTAATCATTGGTGTCTATGCAGCCATGCAGTTTCAGCCTTCTTTAACAGCCTTTCAACAGACGGCCCAATCAACATACGTTTTCTTAAAGAACTTCAACTCTCCTGAACTCAAAATTATGAATGATTTGACTGATAAAGTATTTGAAGTATTTGATAATGAAATAGTGTAATTTAGTTTGTTTTAGCCATTAATAAAACTTCATATAATATGAAATTCTTTTGTAATGTCAAGCTCCTGAAAAATTATGAAATTTTAGATTATTACTCAAGACAACAAAATGCTTGTTGATAAAGTATTTTGATATATTAAATTTGAATTTACAGGGGAGGTGGAAGAGGTTCAAACCCATGCTACTTAACCCTTTGACTGCTAACTATTAATAGCTGACATACCCCCATGTGCTAAAGCAAAAAAGTGTTCAGAATTTTTTTTCTTAACGTTGTTAATTATCCTCCAAGAAACACAAAAATCCAATTAAAAAGTTTCTAGCTCTTGTGGTTTAGCTGTAGTGGCCTGGAGAAGTTGCATATTTTTAGGTAAAGTGAGTTGAGGTGCCGCATGGGAATAACTTTGTTGATATATTTTCATTGTTTCTCACTTAGTTTTTTCTTGCCAACAGGTTGTATTTGTGTGCCAAAGGTACAGTCTATTATGTATAACTTTGAAAATATAAGTATGTATGGCTATACAAGTATAAATATACAGACACCCACATATTTATTCATAGTAATTCATTTGCTGTTGCTAAGGGATTAGTGTCTCCTCTATGGTTGCCCTAAACGCTCAGATACTGGATGGTGATGTTGCCAAGAAATGGTCATCATTTTCTTACTGAGGTTCTAAATGGAAAGTGAGGTACTCAGGATTTTTTTCAAGATGGGGGAGGGTTACTAGAGCCCTGAGGAAGCCGATGTGAACCCTGTGTAGCTACGGGACTTTTAAATTTTTCACTGTACATCCACACATCATATGTGGTGAGTAACTGTTGCAGAATTGTGTACCACATCATATGTTGTGTTGCGCAGCTTAAGGGTTAATTGCTCATAGACAATGGCTGAAGGCATTAAACATAACAAAACTAGTGGATAGGATGATATGAATACTTTCAGACTTGGCATGAATTACCAATTCATATGAATTATTGTAATCCACAACTGTCAACATAATGGCATAGATTCAAACTAAGGGAGACAAATATGCCAAGAAATTTACATAAAACTGCTTTGAAAGCGGTTAATGACGGATGCAATAAAATATATACAGTATAAATAAAAACTTTATTATAAATGTAGTTATTTAAAAAGTTTGCAATTTGTTAGTAACTTGTAGCAATAAATTAGAATAATAATGTACCACTATTCTAACTACATAGCAAAGGTAATAACAAGATGTTCAATACATGAACACAGTTCAAACAACAGAACTTTAAAGTGTGTGTCAATACCATCAGAAGCTTGAAAACTTCATTTGATAGATTCAGAATGATGGAACACCGTGACCGCAGCTCAACCTGTAACTATACTTTGGTAATTATACACACACGCGCCATAATGTAACACACAAAACATGGCTTTGAATAACTTTAGAGATTATTTTGGTTCCAGTAGCTGACCGTAGGCATAATATCCAAGAGTGGTGTAAGTTTGATACTGAATTAACTCGGTGGTAGTGGATATGTAATCACAAATGAAGCTTAAAAGTGATTGTAACTTTATATTAAACCATAAATTTCAAGTATGTATCTACATATTATATAAAAATATTCTCAATTTACATGTTATACCTCCCACTGTTAATTGCTATATACAGTAACAATACTCAGGCAATAGTAACTTGGCAGAAATTTTGAATGTCGTAATTTTTATGTCGCCTCACTCTTCTGATGGATCATATGATAGGTATGTACCCAGCCACTTTTCAACTTGTGTGATGTCAACACCTCGGCGCTGAGCATAGTCCATAATCTGTAATCAAACAACTATTGATAATTTATACTATTTTATTTGTAACATTTCCCTGCTGTAGAAAACTGGTTCATACATAACCACCTTCAAATGCTAATCATGAAACCTTGCACACCATTTACATAAATGTTCTCCTTTAACGCGATCCACAGTTTGTCTGCAAATAATGAAATTCCACATTCATTATTACCTACTTTTTGTTTCTTCACTAACAAGAATGCTACCATATACGTAGAATATTCTTCAGTAAGGCCAGGCAGGGACAGTTTAAAAAGATCTTTGTGCATCCATATGTAGTATTGTTAACCTGGCCCAAAAATTCTGTGTCTTATGGCACAACAAAGTGACAGCCAGCAAAACATTTCCAGTCCCCCCCCCCCCCCCCTCCCAGAGCCTGATATCTAAGACGCACACTACTGTACTAGTAATCTTAATTTCATTAAACATCATGAATAACTTTTGAGATGTTGCTAAATTGTGCCTCACTATCTGTGTACCACACAATCATTCAAAAGATTCCCGGCATATACAAAAAACTAACCTGGTCCTTTTGTAGTTTTCCTGTAGAAAAGTAATGACTCTTCGGATTTGCAAAATAGAGTCCTGAAACAGAGGCTGCAGGGGTCATGGCGAGGGTATCCGTCAGCCCAATTCCAGTTTGTTCCTCTACCTTCATTATCTTCCATATGGTTAATTTTTCCTGGTGGTCTGGTTGGCTTGGGTATCCAGGAGCAGGTCTTATTCCCTTTAAGGAAATTTAAATTTTTTTTTTAAATGTACTTATTTGCCAAGGTAAGAAAGAGCAATGACAAAGTTGGCTGGAGGTTCATGGGTGATACTTCTCATAGTTTGTTGCACCAATTTAATGTGAGGCTCCTGCATTATGCTTCATTAATAAAGTGCCAACCTCTATCCTATACAATGCACTTTATAAGGAGGTTCAATCAATTCAGATTTAAGGTATTAGGTGTGGTGGTAGTACGTTAACAAAGTGACAGCAGAGAGCCTGCTCACCAACATATTGAGGAGCTTAACACATTTGAATTTGCTTCGATTTTATGTGATCAAATATTTTGGAAGACAAATTAATTGCTCCTGCTATGTGGGGGGAGAGACCTTGTAAGACAGTGATCTAGCTCAGAAAATGGCAAAAATTCTTAGTTTAGGCATGGAATTGAATGCAGAAACACTCCATAACACAACCGCATCATCTCCACAAGGTAATAAAGTCAGTGTATCTAACTGTAGAGGATATACCACTTGTTCAGAATAAAAAAAAAAAAAAAAAAAAAAACTGGTGTTCCATGACATCATGAAGTATGATAAATATAGGGGGGGGGGGGGGGGAGATTGTGAGCTATATGAGTGAGTTTTCCCATTTTCATCTTTCCTTGTCCAAAGAACTGCAACTACCTGTACATCGTTTTATGTAATTTTTCCTAAACTATCCTCTTATTCTGTATTTGGCCCCATTGGGGACAGTTTGAAAAACTTCCTCCTGCATCAAGAAGGTGAGGGTCATGCTGACCTTGGCTACTGTCTGCAATGATAGTGATTGGGTAGTTGAAGCTCAGACATTTAATAAAGAAAAGAAAAAGGTACCTTCTTTGGGTTACTACTAACAATACAAATTTGGAAAGTGCGAGTTCAAAATGTAAAGATAAGTGATCCTCTCCCACCCCTTCTAATATTTGCTTAATCACACGATTACCTACCCATTGATAGGTAGGCACAAGTTTATGCAACCATTAGAAGTGGTTCATCAACTTGCACATTATATAATCAACTCGTGTAAGAGAACACAAGAAAGGGCATACATCTGGTAACAATACATGAATGAGCTTGCTGCTCTCTCTTGACCATCACAATGCAAAACCAGCACTGAAAGTAATAAACGAGTCTCTGGTGGCTTTTTGTTGCTAACTGCTCAGTTAATTCAACACATTTCAAGTCACTTCAGGCCTTTGCGCATGATTAAAAGCCTATAGAGTACCAAAATCTGGCCTCTCAGGAGCACAGTCAGCAAGGGGATTCTCTTAATCACCAAAACCAAGAAATAAGGCACCAGAAAGGTATAGTGAAACAAAGACAGCAAAGCAAAGCAAATCTAAACTTTCAAAATGAGGTATTCATAAGTTATGTAACAACTGCACCACCAGTTGGCATTACTGGAATCCCCAAACTGGCTAATGCATACCCTCGGTCATTAGCTTGATACCTGCTTGATGGGGTTCTGGGAGTTCTTCTACTCCCCAAGCCCGGCCCGAGGCCAGGCTTGACATGTGAGAGTTTGGTCCACCAGGCTGTTGCTTGGAGCGGCCCGCAGGCCCACCACAGCCCGGCTGGTCAATGTACCAACATGGACCCACAAGAAAAAGGTGTTTCATTACAGAACATCTAACATCATTTTCTGGGGGGGCTCCATGTTGCTATCTCACCACAGAGAACAAAATGAAAGAGACGTGCCAGGGGTGGAGGAGAGCAGAGCTGGAGAATACAAGAAAACAGTATTGGGCATAAAATGCCAATCATTGATCACCCAGGATAAAAGGACAGAACCACCGAAACCTTCACAGAAAACAAGCGATGATGTTTTCCTGATGAAGAGACAGGAAAGGTAATAGTGCCAGGAGATTAAATATTGGCACAGACACAAGGTGGATACTTCGAGATCAGACAATTGCAGACCGTACAAACAGAGGTACACCAGAGCTAGAAACTCCCCCCCCCCACACACACACACATTGGAAGAGTTCCTCAAACCATTGAAGAACATCTTCAGAGCAATTCACTGAAAGAGGTTGAACTGCAAATTTGAACAGGAGGCCAGAAGTGCCAAACATAACTGCTAAGCTGGGCATCAAGGAACCAGAAAGATCACCATGCTGATTAACAGCTAAACAGGAAGGAAGAACTGCAGGAGCTCCCTCCCCTAGCCAAAAGGCATCCACCACAAGAGCCCTGCAATCTGGGAATGGGGGCCACATAGGACAGACTGCTTGCAACAGCATCCACCTAGAGCACCCAAATGTCTTGCAAAGCCAACAGAAGGCCACTTCAACATTCTCCCTGTGGAAATGGGATAAAAAATGAAAGGGACTGTTTGAAAGAGTGGCAGACAGGCCTTGCAGATAACCATGTCAGAGAATCCAAAAGATGAGCTACTCACAGAGTCCAACTCCACAGAGGAATGGACAGAAGCAACCCTGCAGAATTCAGGCAATGAACCACTGGAAAGCAGTTGGAGTGGAGCTGGACCATGGAGCCCACTAGAAGACGAATGAACCACAGAGCATGCCATTCCGCCTTATACTTGTGGATCATGCTGTGCAACCAACAAAGAGAACATGCCCAATGACCCTGAGAACCCTGAATAATACTAATCATGAAGCCCAAACTGAGAAGCTTGCAGATATGCAGACTGGCAGGGAGCCCAAACCAGCAAAGATGAGAACCCCCAACAACTAAAGATGCGAATCACAACATTGTGTCAACCTGGTGAAGGTTCGAGACAGACAGACTCAAACCAAATGAGAGACCCCAAAGACAGTAACTGTGACACCCCACTATGGCCCCTAACCAGTTCCTGAAATCATGGTGAAGAGGAATATGCCAATAGGCATCCTTCAGTTCCAGGGACACTATCCAGGCATTAGCCTGAAGAACAAGGCAGACCTGTGTGAAGGTGGTCACGTGAAAGATCAGACAAGGGATGAAACAACCCAAATCCAAGAGCTCAAGAATGTACTGCATGACAAGAGAGTCCCACTTGGGGACCCACAACAGACTGGAGAGTTAACTGCCACTCCAGAATGCAATCACTCTAATGACTGAAAGGAATTGTGTGTGTGGTTGGGGGGGGGGAGGGTAGACTGATGGCCAAGGCCCCCAATGCCAAAGGAGGGGTCAAGAACCCCCCTTCACTGCAGGCCCATACCTGGACAGCCCAAGCAGTGTGGGTACCTAAGCTGGCAAAATGGGTCACTCATTTCCCCACAGCTCTATAAAAGGGGGTAAACCGAGATGCCACTCCCATGATGCACAAGAATGGTGCTACTGGGTGCCTCGTTTTCATAGTAGCTTAGTAGATTTGCCTAGCTGTTGTCCGTTTTGTTTCACTACACCTTTCTGGTGGCTTATTTCTCAGCCAGGGTGATCACAAATACCCCGTTCTCAGTGAGGAGGCTACATTTTGGTCTCTGGTCCCCAGTAGATTTTTAATAAGTGCCTGGTGTGACTAAATATATGTAGCTAACCAGGCAGCTAGCAACAGGCAGCCACTGTGGATCTCTCTCAGAATTTTTTTTTTAGGTGTAAACAAAAGTGGCATTACAAAGAAACATCTTACCTGATATTTCAGTCTATGCAAGTCATTCGTTTCTAGGTACTCATCACAAGCAAAACCCCACAGGTCCTTCCTCACTCTCTCATGAAGTTCTTCAGCAAAGGCTTCAGCCAGTCTGTCAGCAATGGCTTTCACCAAAATTATACTGTAGTCATCCAAGTCGTTCTGGAAACTATAATAATAATAAAACTTTTGAAAGTACAGGAAAATCAAATTTCTGTAAACAGTTCCATGAATTTATAGCCCTATGGGTGAAAAGCATCTGTTTCCTATATTGTAGCTAGTTAGGTTTGAAACTGTTACTCCTTGTTTATGTTACATCTGACCTTTTGAAGAAGTTGTCTGGATCAATATCCTGCAAATTGTTCAATATTTTAGAAGTTTTGATGAGATTAGCCCTGTCTTCCAGAATTCTTTCTTCCAGAATTCTTCCAGAATTCTTTCTGGAAGCATCTTTCCTTGATAAGATGATGCTAGTAATACAGGCTTGCTGCTTTCTTTTGATAAATAGTTAGGCTTGCTGTTAACATTAGTGTCTCAACACCCTGGCTTGGTGCCGGTTTAGCTAAAGAATCCTCACAGAAATGAATATTTGTTTGAGCCATTGAGCAATTTACATTGAACACAAACGGTTTGTCTTATGGAGAAATTCTATTGAGCAAAGGCCCTTTGTATATTACCTAAGTAACACAAATAAGTACGGTAATTGGTTTAATATTAAGTAAAATGCATGAGGCAGAATAAATCCAGAATATACTAACCTGGTGCACAACTCATCCACTCCAAAACCTGCAGTTACAGCAAACATGCCAATGTAATCCTCAACTCCAGAATCACTTGGAGATATGAAGTCCGATATACAGCAGAACTGGTCCTGACTCTCTTTCTCAGCCTCGAGAAATATGAAAAATACAATATGAGAATGCCATATGACCCATCCTATTACATTTCAGTAATATGATTAAAACTACTGTGCTTATAGGGAATAGCTATTAATATTCATTTATGTATGTTTTACCACATGTGGAAATTCTTGAGACCATTGTCTTCCCATTTTACATAATGGACTCAAAGATCTACCAAGCAACACAAAGACTATGCACTGAAATACTTTGACTGTTAGCTTGGAAGTATTCAAATAAATTAGCTTCTGCTGACTTAAACTAGTTTCTGAGTAGCATCTAAGTAGCTTTCCTTTGGTTTGACACCAAACACCACCAAGTGATTGTTACTTTGTAACAATACCATCAACTGTCACTATATTCAGTGTAAAAACCCAATGAATTTCATTTATGCATAATGAATAAGTCCATTTAGATGCAAGACCCTAACAAGGTATAATGCAAATTTTGACCAAATATTGTCACTATTAGTTTTAAGGAAATGATTACTACATGGTGCTGACATACAATTACCATTCCATTACTGTGCATCAAATGAAATATTTTCTAAACACTCTGAAAACTCTCGAGTACCTGCTGTCTTAAGCCAAACAATTTGGCAACAACTTGTGATCTTGATGCATCACTGTAGACCTCTATATCGTCCTCCACACTGTTGGCAGCATAGAAGCCAACAATACCAGTAGCTTTCAAAGATCCCTCCGAGATGATTTTTGATAAAAGCTTTTGAGCATCATCAAACACACGTTTTGCTTCATCACCTGTTAAATTATGTAAAACTATTATTAAATGTTTTATAATAAATATACTATACAGCTGTTCGTTCGTGTGCTTCAGGCTTCAAAAGACAATAACACTGTGTGCAAAAGTATGATGACCAGACCACACACTAGAATGTGAAGGGACGACGACGTTTCGGTCCGTCCTGGACCATTCTCAAGTTGATTGGACACAATTGACTTGAGAATGGTCCAGGACGGACCGAAATGTTGTCGTCCCTTCACATTCTAGTGTGTGGTCTGGTCATCATGCTTTAGCCACGTTATTGTGACTCATCGCCTGCACTGTGTGCAAGATACAGTATAATAAAAGGTAAAAAAAAAAAGATTAAGTTCTCATTTCCTTTCGTGTTCTGATACGACTGTTAGGAAGCAAATGGTTACTTCTCTAACAAGATGTTCATTTATAGTCCATGACTATCTTTTTTGCCCTCTATTATTTTTATAACAGAGATTGATCTTATTTTCGTACTTATTTTCGTACGATGCTTTCACTTTAAAAACCGATGCTCTTCACTTCCGTCTCAAACTTTAAGGCATTGATTTTAGGACAGTGCCTATCTCTACCTCTTCTGCAATTTTATCAGTAGTGCTAATGGATTATAGAATCCACAAAAGATTTTAATCAGATCCCTGTGGATATGTTTGATGTTAGCTTTTGTAATTTATCTAAACATCTTATATTTAAGTATAATGATAGCTTGTAATAAAACACTGCTTGTACTCTAATTGCTATGTAAAATAATATAATATTAAACATTAGAGGAACATTAAGTGATTTTTTATTAATACATAACTTTCAGAAGTGTTGCTGTTAATGATTTTAGATCATTAACACAGCTCATACTTTCTTCTAATACCATAAATTGTCACTATTATATCATGAGGTGGTTTAATCACTGTTAAACTGTGTATCTGATGTACAAGTATAAATCTGGTTAATTGTTTATTGATCCTTAATTAACTATCCTTGGTTTACTACTCATCTTTGTCAAATTCACCCGCTTCTCTAGTGACTCCTATTAATTGTTAAATAAAAACTGTGTTGAATGTAATGAAACCCATCTTTATGGTACAGCCTCGGTAGATCCCTAAAGCTATCGTACTGAAATGGCTTTCCCCCAACGCGTCACATCAGCAATAGGAGTCCTGTTTAGCCTATTGGGAAGCAGAGTTAGCACCTGGCACAAAGGGCCAACCCAAGCTGTTGCACAGCCATATAGCGAGGAAAACAACAGATCAAGACCATGTGATCATATTGTCGGGACGTGGAGGAAAACTCTTGGAGAATGACAAAGAAATGATAAAAGAACTCCACAAGAGGTTCCAGGTCTACAAATCAGATCGAGATTGGTGGTAAAGAAGGGGTAACTGCTTGATGGGGTTCTGGGAGTTCTTCTGCTTCCCGAGGCAAGGCTTGACTTGTGAGAGTTTGGTCCACCAGGCTGTTGCTTGGAGCGGCCCGCAGGCCCACATACCCACCACAGCTCGGTTGGTCTGGCACGTTTTTTTTAGAAAACAGTCATTTTATGTGAACTTTGCAGTTTGTTTGTGTTGCTTAGATTACTTTCTGGATGCTTTTTCAATGTGGGTGATTGTAACAATCACAATCCCAAGCTCCCTGTGCCCCTGAAAGGGGGCCAGGTTCTGGCTCTGGTCCCCAGTATGTCAAACCCAACTCCTATGACTAATATGACTCGGGAGAAGCCATCTCGGCGAGATGGCTTCAGGTTGCCAAGAGATGCTCCACCAGAAAAATTTTGATGTGCCTTATTTCTTATGGTACCAGTCTCTGCAATTGTATTGGTTACAAGAAACTTACCTACAGTAGCATCCTTGAAAATTTTCGGATAGCCACGGTTGGGGTACTTGCCACGAAGCTGCCATACATCAAAAAATGGTTTCCAATCAATATATGGTACTAAAGTTGTAAGATCATAATCTTTGTATACTTTTGTGCCCAAAAACTTTGGAATTGCTGAAAATAAAAGAAAAGTTTCTAATTGAACTGTCATGCATAAGATTTTCTGAATCAACCCTGTGGTTGTAACACCATTATTTTTGGCCCTATTTTGCCCTACCCAAGAACAAAATTAAAGTATACTAAAAAAATTTGAAATCTACATTTAAACAAATTATTTTGAAAAAACACCTGTTCTTTCAGTCATACATTTTTATTGATAAAATTATTAAAATATTGTCTAAATAACACAAATCAAGGCTGTGTGTGCTCGAAAGACATTGTGCCAGAATTGAATTGTATGAGATCCTGTCCTTTGGATAAAGTCAATCTTACAGCCAAATGGGATAGCTCAAAGAAAAAAAAAGAGCTCCCCAATAAAGTTTATTCATAAATGTTTCTCTTCATCCCCCTACAACTTCCGGTCAATTCATCCAAGGGGTGCTGACTGTGTGGTTGCAGTTGGGTCTCCCTTGTAGTTAACAGGTTTGTATTTAATTGTTTAATACATTAGGTTGCTACTTAGAAATCTATCCAGATACCAGCCTCACTGGCAAATTGATCTTCTAGTACATGGACATATACATTATGAGTAATTATCCCAAACTTAATTCAACAAAACACATGAAATACTGACCAGGTTTTGGAACAGTTTTCCAATCTATTTTAAATTTCCTTTTTCTTGCATCTCCAAGACTGAGAAATCTTTTTTCTCGCAGGCTTTCATAATGTTCTTCTCTGATCATATCATAATCTTCACTCAGATCATCAACAAAGTCATCATACACAGATTCATCAAGCAATGAAGAACACTATGCAGAAGGAAAAAATAAATACAAATATATTAAGCAATAGTATTAAAACAATACAGTACTTAACAAAATATTGAGCATCAAACTTTACAGATTATCATCATCACCATCTCCACCATAATCCTATTTCCCACATTCATAACATGGGGAGCCTTCAGGCCATAGCAAAAATCACGCTTTGAATGTAATGAAACTCCTTTTTCTGTTGGTACCCTTAGTAGTTCCTTGTGCTAAACACTGGTCCAGCCAAGCCTTTCAGGGTTGCACACGAGGCCAGGCCTGACTTGTGAGACCTTGGTCCAACAGGCTGTTGCATGGAGCGGCCTGCAGGCCCACATATTTGTAATACTGCATTCTCAGAAACATAGGAACTAAGGGCCAAGTTCAATACGACCAGCTTCACTTTATGATTAATAGAATTATTAACTCGTGTATTCAATCCACAATATGACAAGAAATTTGTTTATGTTAACTGTATTTTTCATATTTTAAGCAACATTATAACTTCTAAGGACAAGTGCTATAATATTTTATTTTCATCATATTTTTTTTAAGAATGTAATAATTATAATAAGAAATAATTGATTACATACAAGTGAACATGCTGCCTTAGAGTTCTACTTTAAGGAACACTTACCACAACCACACTTTTGGAGGCATCTAGTACATGCACAACGGGATTGTTGTACTTTGGGGCAATCTTGACTGCTGTATGAGTTCTCGAAGTTGTTGCTCCCCCAATGAGTAACGGAACCTCACGGAACAGACAAAAAGTTACTCATTTAATACCATTACATACTAAAGATATAGACTCACTCGGCACCCTTACTGTCTCTATGAATATTACATAACATGTCAATAAAGACAATGGCTGAAGGTTTATTAGCCCCATGCAAAACACCTGCTCTTTTAAACACAATCAAACCCACCCACACACACACACACACACGCACACAAGTTTAGGTTATGGAAACAAAGCTATCAAAAAATATTGGAAAATTCACTTTTGCAAAGAGAGCAGTACATGGTTGTACCAAGTTAAGTGAGAAGATGGTGGTGGTGGATGCCAAAACCGTCAGTAGTTTCAAAGCATTATATGACCAAGAGTGTTGGAAAGATGGGTCACCACGAGCGTAGCTCTCATCCTGTAACTACATAGTGCTAGATTCGTGTAGAAAACACTGCCATATCTTTTTTTTTTTTTTTTTGCAGGAATATTCCTGCACAGGCCCTAAGCCTCTGGCTGGCCCACTATATCTAGAAGCGTTTTATTTCCATAATAATGCAATTATTATGGGAAGAATCCCTCATAACAAACATACCACATTCATTGACTTATAACCTTGAAATGTGAAAACAACCACAAGACTATGGAACAATGAAGAAACTCACCTGTAGACCCAGCCTTTCCATTTCCCGTGCAACAAAGATCATCTCATCCAGGGATGGAGTAATTAGTCCAGAGAGACCAATAATGTCAGCTTTCTCTGCAATGGCACACTGCAATATTTTGTCACATGGGCACATTACACCCAAATCAATGACTCTGTAATTGTTACATCCAAGCACTACACCCACAATGTTTTTACCAATGTCATGAACATCGCCTTTAACTGTTGCTAAAACAATTGTGCCATTATATCTATCTTTGTCCAACATTTCTTCCCCAAGTTCACCCATCTTTGCAGCTCGTTCTGCTTCCATGAAAGGAATGAGATATGCTACAGCCTTTTTCATTACTCTTGCACTCTTAATTACTTGAGGTAAAAACATTTTTCCAGCACCAAAGAGCTCTCCAACAATACTCATTCCACTCATAAGAGGCCCTTCAATCACATTTAATGCTCTTGGATACTTATCTGTGTTTGAACGAGCTTCTTCAGTGTCTTCTTCTACGAATTTATCAATACCTTTAACTAAAGAATGTTTGAGTCTCTCCTCAACATCTCTATTTCGCCATTCATCAAGAACAACACCAACTTTTGCTTGAGAAGAGCTTTTTTCAGCATATGCTAACAACTTATCCGTAGCCTCTGGATCAGTGTTCCACAATAGAGACTCACAAAGCTGCAAAAGTTCAGGATCTATGTCATCATACACAGGCAGGCATCCTGCATTGACAATTCCCATGTCCATGCCAGCTTTGATAGCATGGTAGAGAAAGACAGAATGCATTGCCTCACGAATTGTCTCCTTTCCACGGAAGGAAAAGGAAAAGTTGCTTACACCACCACTTACTCGTGCTCCTGGACAGGTGGCCTATGGAAAAACACAAAATTTACACTACATTACTAATGCCTAAAATCATAAAACATAACACTGCCTCATTATAAAGTTAAAAGAAAAAACAGATATTTCACTCCTGTACAGTATAGCACTTGGTGTTATCAATAGTTTCAAAGCATTATATGACAAAGAATACTGGGAAGATGGAACACAAGTGTTGTTCTCATCCTGTAACTACACTTAGGTAATTACATTGTCCATTTCCAATGGTCCTACTTTTAATTTTTCATGTTCATACCCTACTACAATTTCATAACCATATATAAGAATGGACACCACCACCACTCCTTCATGCAGACCTCTGGCTGTATCTATCCCTATCTTGTTTCCCTTAACCAGGGCTTCTAATGCACCAGCCATTTCCCTTACCTGACTAACCCTACTTTCCACTACACCTGCACAAATTCTTCTTCTATTAATCTAGCACCTAGTAAAATAATGCCTCTAATTCTTACACTTGCTACATTGCATTTTAGTAGTTCAATCACAGCTCTTTTCCAATCCTCTGGCAAATTACCACTATTACCTGTCTTTTGGCGAAAATTTATTACCAAGAGAAATAAAAGCTCTGCTAAAGGAGGATCCACTGCTTACCTTAATAATTTTTGTTGCTTCAATAAAGTAATTTCCATAGTTGTTGTGTTCTTCCATTCCAGTAGCAATTGTTAAGATATTTGGGTCAAAGATAATATCATTGGGATTGAATCCCACTATTTCAGTAAGGATCTTGTATGAACGCTGACAAATCTTAACTTTGTTCTCTGCATTCACAGCCTACAAGTAACAAAACTCTCATTAGCACACATGCCCAAAACATTTAGCAGCTATGTTCTAAAATATTATGAACAGTAAAATGATTGTGTGTCAGATTATGATTATGTCGAATATGCATTTCAGGTTCTCCAAAAGTAATTGAACGAAGTTTAAAACAATATTTTTGCTCACCTGTCCTACTTCATCAAAAGCCATAACAACAACTGCACACCCATGTTTCTTTATTAACTTTGCCTTGAAAATGAATTCATCTTCACCCTCCTTGAGTGAAATGGAGTTAACAATGCTTTTACCCTGTGTCACCTTAAGGCCAGCTTCAATAACATCAAAGTTAGATGAATCTATGCACAATGGTATCTGTTGGGAATGAAAGAGCAAGAATTGAGATATCAACCTGTGAAAACTCATTTTATTGGTGGGAAGGAATAAAGTCGCGACCCACAAGCAACTCATCCCCTTGATCCTCTGCTGAGCTTTTGGAATGAAAATGGAATTTTGAGTTTTTAAATTCATGAACATGGTTGTTAAGGGGTTTAACCCTTTTGTTGCAACACTTCCATTTTGGTTCCATATGGTTTTGGGATGCAATCCAATACTTTACTGATAGTACCTGAATACTTAATTTATTGAGTACTGTATATACTTACTTTACAAATGTCTGGTTCTGTAGTTATTAAGTTAAGGAAGCGAGTCATTGCTGCTTTGCTGTCAAGTAAACCTTCATCCATATTCACATCGAGGATTTGTGCTCCATTTTCAACCTTGAGGAAAATTATAAAATATTTAGGAAACAAGATATTACCTTCCTCTCAGGATTTAAATATAAGGGCAACGTTCTTGTAAAAGCTGTTCTGTATTGCACTTGTTAAAAATTATTTTGAATGATACTCTAATTTTACAAAGCACAAATTTTAGTTTTTCTCAACTATGACCAACACATCCACAAGATGTTCATTATTACTTTCATATATAAAAAAAAAATAGAATTGAATGTAATGAAATCTCACTTCTGGTAGGCCCCTGGTGGCTCGCTGAAGCTGTATCACTGAAGGAGCTTCCCACTACTAAGTCACATCACTCACAGGATAAAAATTGATTGACCCTGTGTGTATTGCTTTCTTTACTTTTGGGATGCTTTTCTAGTGAGGGTGATCCTAACACTCCCCAGCTCTCAGTGCCTCTATGAGGGAGGGCCAGGTTATGGCTCTGGCCCCTGGTAAGTCAAACAGGGAAGGTTAAATAAAACATGATGTGACTCAGTAGTGGGAAGCTGTCTTAGTGCTATAGCTTCAGGGAGCCTCCAAGGAGCTCTTCCCGAAAAATGGAGGAATACACCAATTTAGTTGATTTAACAATGCCTCGTAAAAACAAAAGCTATCAAATATTAAGGAACTCAAGTCAGGTGTAATGTAATGCTTCACACTAAATAATATTTACTTGAGTTTTAGCAATGGCAAGAGCCTCGTCATACTTCCCAGACTTGATCAATCGGCAGAATTTACGGGAGCCGGCAACATTGCATCTCTCGCCTGTTAATACATTATACAAGTCACTTCGATGTATGCTTCTCTCTATACATAAATACATAATGTACCATATTCATATAATAATGATGTCCGAGTACTCAATTTGTAACTAATACTGCCATACAAAAATATACATTACAGTCAATTTGTAGCCACCAGTCAATTCAATAAAATATATCCATGGTTTACAAAGAGCCTTTTTTCATGATTAATGAATTCATAATAAACTTTAACAAATAGGCTTCAAGTGCATAATTTTTTTTTAACACATGTAGAATTATGTATTCATCCAGAGTAATAAACCTGTGGAGTAGATTACCCACTGACTTTGCCAAAGCAAGATCCATTAGACACTTTCAAAAAGCCCATGAAAAAACTCAGGGAAAATAAAGCAATCCACCAGAGGCCATACACATCCTGTCACCTGTGAGACCACTATCTTTAATGGTCTTGTGGTTGGTATATAGGCAACCGATAAATACAAAGGATGTGGATACAAATGCTTTGATATGAGGAATGCATCTCCACACAATCTTCTGGTCTTGGAATGTATAAATATTTTATATAAAATTTTAGTTAATTTCACAGTCCACATGCATCACATACAGTTTCATGTATGTTTCAGGTTTCATGGTAAGCCATCAACATTTCTGTAATGACTTCAAGATGAGAAAGAATACATTTGGTGTTAATAGCAGAAAAGATAAAAATCACAAATAATTTAAAACATAGCAGATAGCAAAATATCTGTATGCTTTTGAAATCATTGATAAAATACAGTTCAAGAAGGGCTGAATATAACAGAAGATCCTTGTACAAAAAATTAAGACTGATTAATGATAAACATAACAGAATTTGTGATCCAACCCCCCATCACTATTTGGTGCAGCCAGTCTTGCATACCCTAAGAAGTTTGCATGGGGGACTGGGTTCGACGCCCATCACCTTTAACATTTTCTAACCAAATGTGAAAATAGCTCTGGATATTGGGGGCTGTACCTGCTTAAGGCACATAAAGCAAAGTTCCTTTGGCTTTGCTAAATGCAAGAGGAATAAATTAGGAACAAAAGAAGTTGGAAATGGAGAAAAGTTTCAAGGAAGGAAAGTTCAATGAGTTAGGTTTATGCTATCCAAAGAGTATTGAAGAGTGGAAGAGGTATACCTATTAATTAATAAAGAGTAGTATGGGGCACTGAATAATGGTCTTACTACAGTTCAAAATGCATTGTGTGATGATTGAAGTGAGAATGAAAATGTATTTTATTTACTGAACTTAGAAAGGGTGATTAGTATAATACTTAAGCATTATAGACTTGTAATGCGTGATCTGAATAGTAAAGTGGGAAAAGAAAATTAGATGTACCAAAACAAATGTACTGCGAGTGCTCACAATACACCACAGTCACGTTATCATTAAGAAATGCTTCTTTTTAATTAAATTGAAGTAATTTTTATATTAGTACTTACCAATATTAATGAAGTTGGTTTGGTCTGTGAGTCTCATTGGTTCAAGGCCACAAAGAACCTGTGCACCTTCATACAAAACTGATGGAGGAGTACGAGGTTTGATCATTGCAACAGCTTCAGCTATAGCTCTGAAACACACAAGAAAATCATTCTGAAGTGTCTTGAGAAAGGATGTAGGTTACATCTAAATATTTAGTTTTTAATACACTTGTATATATACTGGATCTTTCCTTCACCTTAATTACTAATAGCATTATTTCAGATTGGACTATCATCGAGTGGGATATCCTTGGATAGCTATTCACATCTGGTATCAAGATATAGTATGATGGCCAGCATATAATGTTGGCCTATGCTTCAAGAGCAGGGAAACATTATGAACCTTGTACAAGGCTATGGGTGGAACTGCCATTTTAAATGGACGGAAATGGCACAAACTCAAGTGACCAGCAGCAAAGGGTGAGGTCATCTGACCTCATGTACGAGAGCTTGGTGGAACCACCGGATTTACGCTCCTCAGGTCATACAAACTCTGGGAAGAACCAAACAGAATGGAGAGCAATGAAGAACCTAGCTTTTGATTAGAGTAATCATTCAAGAGGTTTGGTGAAGCTAGCAAGCATGGCTTTGGTTTTGAGTGGCAAGGAATTTATTCTTAGGGCTTCAACTTCGACTGCAAGATGTGTATTACTATCTCGGCCAAGATAGAAGCCATGTGGCCGTTCAGTGCCAACTGTATGAAGCTAACAGAGCACAAATTTATCATTACTGTATCACCACAAACCTGGATTCCTTTGTGGGTTCGTGGGGTAATGATATATAGTATGTAGCTATTATTATCGTATCAGTCTCAAGGGCAGACATGGTCTAGTCCACACACATGACCTCCACTGTGAAATGGAGAACCGACTGTGCATTACATGTAAGGAAGCTACAGCCATATCTTCAATAATTTCCTCCTGTTTGTGGTATGGATACTGCAGGCAGTCAAGGCAGTTATTCCAGTGTTTAAGCCACATGTAGTCACTGAGAATCATGTGAGTAAAGTAGTGTGTGCTTGGAGACAGACATTCTCTCTTGTAGCTAGAATAGATATTCAGCTGCAACAGGATCTCTTCTCCGTCTTCACCACATCTCTTCCTTACTGCCCCTCGTCCCCCTTCTCTCTTTGGTCCCCCCACTTTGTCCCTTCCTCCTCTTCTACCTTCTCCCAGAAAATTTATTATTATGAATCACTGAAAACCTCTAGGAAAATGCACAAAATATTTCACCCTTGAGTCCATGAAAATTGCATGGGGTCTCTATAAATGCCAATATTTTTTAAAGTATTTAAATTAGGCTGACCCTGATCAGCTTATATCCATCCCATATCCCAGACTATTTCCCCAGCAAAGTTGGGCGAGGCTAGCCCCAAGCACCTGGCCTCTAACGATGGACACACATACACACACAGACTCTCTTATACATATATACTGTAGCTTGGTCCAATATTAACCTATGAAGATTGCCTTGAAACAGTCCTTCTTTAGGTATTTAAATTACATTCTGGTTATGATAGGTTGGTTTAGTGATGATAGTGATGGTGGTGGTAATGGTGATGACATTGTGTACTAACATGAAAACATGGCACGAGTTTGTAATAGTGAAAATATTGCATTAGTATTATTATTACCTAATATGATCTGGTGTAGTGCCACAGCAGCCCCCCACAACATTCACTAGTCCATCTCGGGCAAAGTCTTTAATAAGACTAGCTGTTGTGTCTGGAGTTTCGTCATAGTCTCCAAATGTGTTGGGAAGACCTGCATTTGGATAACATATAACGAAAGATGTGGTGTTCTGGCTGACATTTTCAATAAAGGGGCGCATCTCTCTGGCTCCAAGTGCACAGTTTAAGCCAATACTGAAAAACAAAAAATTAAGTGTCATGCAGAGGATGGGTTGTGTGGATTATAATATATAGAGACTGGACTAAATAACTTTCAAAATATATTTTGAAAAAACAAAAACAAAATTTGTTTAGTCAATTTCAAGCAAGAATAAAAAACGTAAAGTAAAAATGTTAGATAATGATAAAATCATTCTGTAAAATAAATAGACACAAGGTATACATAAAAACAATGGCATTTTATTCCATTCACCTGAGCTTTACGAGACTCAAACCCTGGGCCTCACACGCGTGGGGCCGAAGCTCTATCGACTGAGGTATTGAGTAGTCTTAATAAGGAAAGTTTCCAGAAGCAGCATCCTGCTGCCAAGCTGGAATTACTTCACCAAAGTAATGCTAAACTTCAGCCTCACCAGCGTGGGGTCCGCAGTTCGAGTCTCCTAGAGCCCAGGTGAATGGAATGTGGATTTCCACGGAAGTTTAGATGACAATTTAATGGCATTTAATAATGTAAAAATAATTTGGAAAAATACTGTATAGCCCTTCTAAAGCTAATCAACTTGTATGGTCCATAAGGGAAGATCCATCCTGGCCTTAAAGAAGTGTACCATGTAAATCAGGGATACACAATATTTTGTACTGTCACAATAAAGATCTGAAATGTCCCTGTTACCTTGAGGTTACCTTGAGGTGCTTCCGGGGCTTAGCGTCCCCGCGGCCCGGTCGTCGACCAGGCCTCCAAGCCTGTCGAGTCCTTTTGGTCCAAGAATACTTAACCCTTCAACTGCACATATCAACCGGAGTCGTTTCATCAGTGGTGCGCATGTTAATGTGAAAAATTATAGGTTGGATAACCAGAACTTTCCAAACAAGATATGCCACACCAATGATGATACTTTTTAAGACATTAGTGCTCTCTTAGAGTGGAATATTGTTGCCCACTAAACAGTCCCATTCAAAGCTGGAGAAATCGCTGACCTGGAGAGCATGCAAAGATCTTTTACCACTAGAATCCACTCAATAAAACATCTAAATTATTGGGACCGCCTAAAAATTTTCAAATTGTATTCCCTAGAGCGTGGGTGGGAGAGATACACAGTAATTTAAACTTGGAAAATATTAAGAGGACTGGTTCGAAATTTGCACACAGAAATGAAGAAGTTTGCACTCATGCAAACCACATGAGACCAGAAGCACAGCAGGATGTGTAAAATAGCCCCACTGAAAAGCAGAGGTGCAATAGGCATGCTCAGAGAGAACTTGATCAACATCAAAGGTTCAAGACTTTCAACACTTTTCCCCTACACGTATAAAGCATAATTGGCCAGCTTCTTGCAGTGTTCAAAAAGAGAACTCGACAGGCACCTTCACAAGTCAAATTGTAGAAAATGTCAAGGGATTTTTTATACTATGTGTGTTTTTGGCCAAGTACTGTATTACACCGTGACAAAAGAGAGGTTTGAAGGAATACACTGGGGTATTTAACTTAATTTTGAGCATGTTAGAACTTAGCCAGGTATGTTAGTAAACCTCTGAAATGCAGAGTCGTTACAGAGGTATAATTACAGGTTGGAAGTAAGACATATAAATTAGGCTGGAAGGAACATAGCAGGAGAATGAAGGAAACACAGGAGAAATAACAGCCCCTCTGGAATCTGTAGTACACGAAGAGCTGCTGTGTTGATCAGACAATCCTCCTACAGTAGTGGAGGAGGATATGAAACAGATGCTTAATTGGATAGAAAAACAAGATCTAGTCATTTAAGTTAACATGAGGGAATATATACTGGTAGTTTATTAATGACTGAATGTGAAATACATACCACATAGGTTGTGCATGAGAAACACTAATGATGAAAGCCTCCCCAGTCTGCCCAGAGAGGGTGCGGCCAGATTTGTCCACAATTGTTCCAGAAATCTGTAAATGAATGTTGTACAATAAATATCAACAATTGCAGAGTGAGAAATTTGAAACATATTACATGGCATTCAGCAATATGGAAGAAAATTATCCATGGCACCAGCTGATGTGAAATGCTCCAGATATAAAGAATGCAAGACTTACTAAACTTTCTCTATAGCTTGGTAGTCTGAGTTTCATTCTATGGATAAATTTGGATTACTTCCAATTTATCCCCTTACACACTTCACTACACAATGATCAATCATTTGTGAATACACATTAGATAATACTTGATATATGCTTTGTAAAGTACATTAATAAATAATAATACAATTTATTTAAAAAATCAGGCTTTGAGCAATATGAAAAGTGCTTTTCTGAGCAGATCATTTTGTTGCTCTAAGTAATTCCGATGTCTAATGGATGGTAACGCAGTAAATCAGACAGGATGAATTACCACACCAGCAACACGAATATTTTACAAGCTGTCCCAGTAGGGTCATACAAGGTAGCAGGGAGTCACTGGAGAATTCCTTCCAGCCCAGAATGATGCTCATTCATCAAAACCCTATAGAACCCTAATTTGACATCACTGGTGACTCTTTAGCTAAGTGATACTTGATGGTCTATTTGAGACTGACCAGAGAAATCTTAGCATCTCCTTTTGCCCATTAATGACATGGCAGGAGTGTCTGAAGACACTAGCTGTGTTGGGAAGAGAAAGCTGAACTTGCCTGCTTGTTGCTTGGATATGTCCCTGTGAGTATAGGGACATTGCTTTGGGGAGCAATGTCCTGGCTAATAGCAACCAAGTGCTATTAGCTCAAAATGATCACTGTATCTTGAGTATGAAATCCATAATGGAAGGTGATATTCAAATCTGATCTGTATTCAAAATGTAAGACATCGTGTCCAACAACCAAGTAGATTCCAATAGAGCATTTGAAGTGTGAATTTTATGGGAATTTTATTTGAATTTATGTGAATTTTATTTTATACCTTTACAAAGTTTCAGAAAAGGAAAAACAATGAATCTATCCCAAAACCATGCTGAAAAGGATACCAAATTAGTGATAACTATGTATATATATTGAACTAGCAAGTAAAAAGTGTGTGAAGAGTGATGAGACACTCATATTTTCATAAGAAAATATTTATCATATGATTAAATATTTATACTGTACAGTACTACATTTGACACTAATATATCGGTTGATAACAAAGTAAAAACATTGCTGGGCAACTGCTACCGGAGACCCTGCTATCCCGTTACTGAAAAAACAAATACCATGACTCCACTACAGCTAAACCACAGTACACACACAGATTCTATATTATGATGCAACTGAATATAAACAAGAGGGCAAATTCCTGAAATTTATGCTAGTCATGAATATCATGTAATATCTGACTCAACTTACAAATATTGGTACAGGATCATACTCTGTTTCAAACAGACTTTGGATTGCAAAGAGTGCTGCTTTTGCATTAGCTGTGTCGAAGATGGTCTCTACCAGCAGTATATCGACACCTCCATCCAAAAGTCCCTTTGCCTGTTCAGTGTATGCAGCAACTAATCCATCAAATGCTAGAATTGAAAAATAATGTCTCAGATATGTGAATACAAGGTTTGGCTTTGTAAACAAAAAAAAATACTTATAGGTCATGAAAGGCTCCTTTCAGCTGAACTCTCCATAGCATCGTGACTTTAGTACTGGTACAGCCATGCCATTTTTTGGGGATGCACCAGCACCATAATCTGGCTCTCTATAATGAGAGGAGAACTTTGATATCAGAGATCAACTAAAAACTGAGAAAAAATGTAACTGCATGAAGAAAATTAGGTTGAATGGCTCAACAGGTGAGCAGAATGATCAGGCCAGCAGGTAGGATTGATTTGGTGGGAGGGCAGGTGAGAGAGATTGGGTAGTCTGGTTAAGGCAGGAGTGATTTAAGGATTAGAAATTTATTGGGAGAGACGAAGGAATTTATCAGGATCGGGCTGTTAGTCAATCTACAAACATTAACAAAAAGAATTCATCCTATATCAGGAGGGCCAATATGGTAGTAATACTGTACAGGTAGTGGAGAGGGTATGGGTGGATGGAATGAGTAGGGGCGAAGGTTGGGAAAAGGTGCGGGGATAAAGAGGGATGGACCGGGTATGTACTCACCTAGTAATGCTTGCAGGGGTTGAGCTCTGGCTCTTTGGTCCTACCTCTCAACTGTCAATCAACTGATGTACAGGTTTCTGAGCCTATCATATCTACACTTGAAGCTGTGTATGGAGTCAGCCTCCTCCACATCACTTCTTAATGCATTCCATTTGTCAACTACTCTGACACTAAAAAGGTTCTTTCTAATATCTCTGTGGCTCATTTGGGCACTCAATTTCCATCTGTATCCCCTTCTGCACGTGCCCCGGTTAAATAGCCTGTCTTTATCTACCCTATCAATTACTTTGAGAATCATGTATATGGTGATCATTCCCCCCCCCCCCAACTCTTCTGTCTTCCAGCGACAGAGGATAATGTGTGAGGATGGAGGGAGCATATTGTATATATATAGATACAGATGGTACACATACTCTGCAGGGCAATGAATACAGATAAAAAATGTCACAAACTCTTTTGTTCAATATCATTGAAATTTTTCGAAATATAAATGTTTTATTTTAAATAATATAAATAAAAAGCAAGATTAGGAAAAACAAGAAATGCAAATATATTTTGATGAAACTATTTTGCACAATGGATTTGGTCTGAATTTTTGCGAAATCTGCAATACAGAGAGAGGTCCAGATTTGTAATGTCACCTTATATGAAAAAAATTCCTCCATTATTGATGTGGAATACCTTCACACAAACAATAAGCATCAATAGATAGCATCATCACTTAATATTTTATGAAAAATATCACCATTTAGACTATATACAAAACCTTAATACATTTTTATAAATTGTTTGAATATTAATCTGAAACATTATTTAGCTTAACAGATTTTGTGTTATCTACAAACTAGCACTCAATCTGCTGATATAATATACTGATTATATCAGACTGACATAATCTCAGTCGTTTGATATGTACACAAATATATATATCTTTCTTTAGATCAATACCTGTAAATAAATTTATTTCGTGAGTAATGACTTTGGACATTGTATTCACACACTGCCATGTCTTTCTATAGTGTGCAATACAGAGACAAACTTACTAATATTTCTATAATCAGGTCGTTCAACTGAAGGAGATATTGAAAGTGTTCGATTGGTGGGACCCATGGCACCAGCAACGTACCGCTGCTTCCCTGTCTCTACTGTGACTTCATCGGCAGCACGCCTTGCAAGTCGTGCCGATTCAAGATTGAGTCTAAATATGAAAATCAAATATAATAATTATTAGTACAAAAAGTTTGTGGAAAGAAATTTAATTGCAAAATCAAGATTTGAACAGTCGTCTGTGGGTGTCCCAATCCCACATGCCACAGAGGTTAGCACAGTATCTGGAATTGAAATGCCATCAGACAACTATCATCTTGGGCAGGAATACAGTGGTTAGCATGTCGAACTGGGATGCTTACCCTCCCTAAAAAATAAAATTCCAGTGTTGAATGTAATGAAATGCCTCTTTCTGGTGTGATACTCAGTGGCTTCCCATATCTCATCATGGACAAGGATTACTTGTCACAACATACAAGATCCTGTTGGAATAAACAAAGTGGACAAAGGAAGCCTATGTATATTAAAAAGAGGTAGAACAAGGGGACATCAGTAGAAGTTGAACACATGATTGAGTTGATGAAATGTGAGAACCCTGTTCCTGTTCCTGTTCCCTGTACAAGAGTAAGTGGGGGGATTCACTCTTAGAGGTTATTGAAACCAATTCCAGGCACAACTTGAAGCACCATGAGTGGCTCAGAGGTAACAATGGCTAGCAACAACTGAGCATAACAAATGATGAACCCCCGGTTGAACAAACCAAGCCTTGACAACCAAAGGACCCCCGCCCCCCCCCCCCCTAGAAGCTAGATATCTCATTCTTAGCCATAAAAGGAGATGACTGCACATGAAGTAAACACCCACCCAGGCTGAAGAAACAAAAACCCTGCTTCTGAAGTAGCTCTCTGACTTACAACCGAGGGCAAGGGTCAACAAAAACAAAGACTTATAAAAATTGATCATGACACTATGGGACAACACAGAATGAAGGGGAGGAAAGACAAAACCAAAACTGTATGCAGTGACCAAGAGGGCTCAGGAGGAAAATGATCAGGCAGGTTAATAAATGCCATACACAACTTGCAAAACAGTGCCGGTGAAGTGTCCACTACTACCAACAACAGCGGCTCCACCAAAGCTGAATGATATTAGGCAACAGTATTCAGCATGAAAAGCTGATTAATGAATAATCAAGACAAAAAAGTTAAATACACCAGACCCCGCAGAAGAACCAATGTACAGTACACGTACTACCCAGTTTGGAGCCCCGCAAGCGGTAATCCCCAGGGGCAGACTCCTGAACCTTCTCAAATAAGATAACCCAGATTGAAGGCAGAGGCAGCATCAGCAGCAACTAGAAAAAGAGAATTCTAACCACATGCAGCAATGGTAAAATGAGAATTGCAGCATACACTACAGGAAGGCCAAAATACACGTATGAGAAACCTAAAAATGAATCAAACAATCCCTTACAATGAAATAAAGTCCAAAAAAGGTCAACACTTAGCAAAGGACCGAGTCTAAAAAGTGATATAATTCCAAGAGCAGGAGGGATGTGAATGAGGAAGTCAGCTGGTCGGTACTCTCATGATGGCCAGGGCTGCCATTTGGTGGCAAGCAAGTGTTGCTAACTAGTGGTTCCTTGCCACTAATGAGCACGTGCATGGTCGTGTTAGAGTTACCATGTTTATCTACGCAGTTTCCAGTTTTGTTGCACCCTACATTTCTGGCGTTTTTATCTTCGGTGGCGGAATCATGCCCCCCAGACTCCCCTGCCTCTGTTGAGGAGCAAGATTCTCCTACAGTTCTGGCTTCAGTTAGGACCTTGTAATACCTTGCCAGGTGGGCAACTTTGGTATCCTAAGCTTCGAGCTTGCCAGGTGGCAATTCAGGATGCCACCAAGGAAACCAACCAGAAAATTAGATCTGGGGGCATCCCAGATATTCATGGTACAGTCCAGTAGTCAGCATGTGGGACTGGGATGCCCCAACACAAGTTCAAATCTGAATATTACATTATACTGTATTTCAGTTTTATTATATTATAAAGTCTGATTCAGACTTATATTTCTAAGAAACTAACAAAAACATACTAGTTTATTGGTATAATTCATAAGGTAACTAACCTATAGCAGATGTGTTCCAGGTGATAGTCAGCCTGAGCTATACGGGTTCCACTGAAGGTGTTGGTCTCAATAATATCTGCACCAGCCTCCAGGTATGCCTGAAATTTATAAATAAAATAACATGCTTTGAGATTGTAAAACCTACACTGTTAGCTCATGAAAAGCTTTCTATCTAAACATGTTGTTCTGCTATACCCAGAGGAATATCTATCCTTAGTGTATAAAATGATTGCAATTATTGTCAGACAAGACGAGATACAGCACCGGCATTGCAGTGACATACAGGGTAAATTGGAATCACTACTGTGTCCACCAAACCCCAAAAAACTGAATCCCACAAGTCTTTTCACAAACTTGAAGTGTGATATATTCCCAATTCACAACTGTTACTGAGAACTTTGGTCACCTTACCAGTCAGTCACTCACACAATCCATAATTCAATGCTCCAATACTACTAGATCTCCCCCCCCCCAACCACATCATATATATATCCTCTTTCAAGCAAAGAGATCCCCCCCCACAAATATATGAAATTGAGCAAGAGAGGGAATAGGGGCGATAAAATTACATGCTTAAAAAATCAGCGTTGAATAATGTTATGAATGTAATGAAACGCCTCTTTCTGGTAGAGTCCTGTTGACTCCCAGAAACTCTCTCAGTGAGGGTGCTCCCTGCTACAGGGTCACATCAGTCACAAGAGTCCTGACTGATGTTGATGTTGGGAAGTTTGTGGCTCTGTCTGTAGTTTTTCCAATATATCATTGGCTGATATTTAGGCTCAGATTTTGGAGGACTAACAAGATCCTGACTGCTTGTTACCTGGGTCATTGTCCCTGGTCCGTGTCACACTTGGGTTACCCTGAATTAATTTTCCAGCCTAGGTTCTCAACTCTACGAGCGTAGTTCATTGCTCTCTTCCTCCCTGGTAAATCCTATGTTTTCCTTCTGTTCTGTTGTTAGATAGCTTCAGGGAGCCACTGCAGACCAAGAAAACCAACGTTAAATGTAACGAAGCACCTCTTTCTGGTAGGTACTCTGTGGCATCCTGCTTCCAGGCAAATTGGTTTGAAGTATTTTAGCTGTGGGCAGAAGGTCTGATGATGCAGAAGCTGGGAGCTCCTGGTGGTGCTGCTGCCTTGCTCACCACCTGAAACTAGGAGGTGTAATCTAACTACTGAGTGAATCATGAGCAGAGTTGTTGGCTACTCAGTTCTTTTCTCTGTGAACCTTGCAGTTGTCTGTATTGTTTCACCTTTCTGGATGTTTCCTTTGGCAAGGGTGACCAAAGAACTCCCCCGCTCTCTTTGCTTCTTGGGGAAAAGTGGGATGTAGGCTTTAGTTTTGGTCCCTAACAGACCACACAAGACGTCTAATACTGATGTGATTCATATGAGAGTAGCTATCACAGCGACCTAGCTTCAGGAAGCCACCAAGAAAGTAGAAAGCCACTTTCTACCAGAAAGAAGCATTTCATTCCATTAAGGATTTAGAGGTTCGCTAAAAACTCAATTTTACTAAGTACACTAATTTCTTTGATTCATCATTGATTGTTCCATCTTTCTTATGCAAAAGCCCAATACTAGGTGTGGTCTTTGCTATGGACTTTGCATAGCAGAAGAAATATTTTGGACTTCTTTCAGTTTCACTGATGGCCTTTTGCTCTGTTTGACTCCTAGATTTTATACAATTCTTTCAGTTTTGGCTCACTATCTTCTACTTTTTTGCATAGTCTTCTTTGTCGTTCTCGAGTGTGTGACATTTGATTAGCTTTGTATTTTTTTTTTTTGCCTATAGAGTATTAGTCTCATTCCAATTTGCATCTTTTTGCAGCTAGTAGGGAATCAATAGTAGGAATTATGACAAACTATAATACTAAACAACACCACCATACAGTACAGGGCTGTAAATTGTTGTATGAGGAAAGCCTCACAAACATTTTTACTTTACATATGCCACCAAGAATAATACAGTATCAACATGAGAAGGACAACATCCCAACACATACTTACTTTATGTATGCCAAGGATAATTTGTGGTTTTGTAAGAGAAAGTAAATCATTGTTGCCCATAAGGTTACTTTCATGTTCTTTAAATTCTTCTCCTCGATAGTCAATCTCCGACAGCTTGTGGCGCTGGATCATGGTTCCCATGGCTCCATCTATAACCAGGATGCGGTCCTGCAGAGCCTGGTGAATCTCCCTTGCACGAGCTGTGAATGGTGAATGTTACTAATATTACTGATAAAATAACTAATGTATGAAATACAATACTGTACATTAACACACAATACAGTATTTGGAATCAGGTGTTAGCATTTGGACAGGTACAATCATATGTTACCCGTGTCTCATGACTAGAATGCTTTCCCACTCTAATACCTACTACTGTGTAAAAAACTACATTACATAATACTTACCAGCCACTTTCCTTCTCAGATTTGGTTCTACTGAACATACAAGGGTTTCTGAAAGCTTTCACTGAAGCCGGACCAGGATTTTCACCACGATCCCCTTCCCCCCATGCACTCCGACTCTCATCCAGGACTGTTCTACCTCTGACGCTCCTCTTTCAATACACAATTCCAGAGCATGTCATAGAATACATAGAGATATACTTGCTTGATGGGGTTCTGGGTGGTCTTCTACTCCCCAAATATCTCAAGACAAAGTAGAAAAATTACTCAAGGGGCAAGGAAGAAATAAATCAATAGGACCTGATGGAGTTTCACCTTAGGTGCTGCAAGAATGTGCAACTGAGCTGAGCATTCCATCCCAATTAATATTCCAGACATCCTTGTACACAGGAATCTTAGCAGATATATGGAGAAAGACAAACATAGTACAGTACCAATATATAAAAATAGTAGTCGAGAGGAATCTCTAAATTATAGACCTGTATCATTAACAAGCGTGTTAGACAAAACACTAGAAACAAGAGTTAAAGCTAAATGGGTTGAACACCTAGAGAGTAATGACAATAGCGAGCAAACAGTATGGTTTTCAAACAGGAAGATCCTGTGTAACAAATCTACTTAGTTTTTATTATAGAACCACAGAGATAATACAGGAAAGAGGTGGTTGCATAGACTATGTCTATCTGGACCTAAAAAATAAAAGGCTTTTGACAGTCCCACACAAGAGGCTGTTCTGGAAACTGGAACATACTGGAGGGGTAACAGAGAGACTTCTAACATAAATAAAAAAAATTCTAACTGACAGATAAGGGCAGTAATCAGAGACAATGTATCTGACTGGAGTGTTACTAGCAGAGTATCACAGGGTTCAGTTCTTGCACCAGTAATGTTCATCGTCTACATAAACGATCTATCAGAAGGTATACAGAATTATATGAACATGTTTGCAGATAATGCTAAGATACCGTACTGGGGAAGATAGGAAATGCAGACAATTGAAATGCCTTTTTGAATTTTCCCTTCAAATTAATCTAGATAAAATAAGTGCTTGGAGCAACGTGGCAAATGGAATTTAATGGGAATAAATGCCATGTTATGAAATGTGGAATTAGAGAAAATAAACTACACACAACTTACAAAAAATGTGGAAAGGAATTACAGAACTCTAATAAAGAACAAGACCTTGGGGTAGTTTTGGATAGTAAGCTGTTGCCAGAGGAACACAAAGAACATTGTGAGAGAACCTTATGCGTCACTTTCCGACTTCAGACTTTCTCGATTGTGAGTCAATAATGAATTTGACTCAAGAATATGTTATGTTAAATAGGATGGGTTGTTAGGTTGCGATTGATAAGTTGGGTTTTATACATACACCCCAGTATTACCATGTATTAAGTTTACTTTTTACATATCCCTGATGCTATAAATAACTTAAAAAGTACACACAGAGATCACACTAACGTGATGCATCAAATGAACAAATCCACGAATCCTCGTCACGGCCCTTGAGGATTTGTTCATTAAAAAGTATAGTATAATGAGTATGAAGATGCGAAGGCATATCTTTACCTGACATAGCTGCCGGCCGTTTGTGTGACATCATCTTAAAAGACGAGCTTGAAGGGTTGTTTATACACACGTGTGCAGCTCACAGCTTGGCCCATCTGACGTCCCAGTCTCTCTCACCTGGCTCTCAGATCCTCTCACCTGGCTCTCAGGACCTCTCACCCGGCACCCTCTAGTCTACTTCACCGAAAGGAAGGTAAACACACAGCCCCGGCTTTATATAACATACCGGCACAGTCCGTCTCTCTGACCATGACTTCGACTCCAAACTTCCTACACCGACGGACTCAAACTTGCAAAGATTTGGTTTAATATATCATGGACACGACCTTCATTTAACTCACATATCTGACAACTTTACACTCACCCCATTTTGAGAACGGGATGCTGCATCTGTGATGACTTAAGTGGCACGTGGACACCAGCTGATGCTGTGGCACCTAAACAAACCCCCGCGGCCAGGCGCACGACCACACCAGCTCTCCTCTCAGAATGTTTGGTAATATGTTTATTGTTTGTGATGTGTGTATATGTATGTATTAACACGATGAGAATAGCTTGAGCTACCTTATCCCTTTGTGTGTATTTTACCTCAATAAACTTATTTCAATTTCAATTTTCAACCACCAGCTGACGCAACACCTCCAATAACTCCATCGTTGTCGCCCTTAAATCAACAACAACAACATCGTTGTCGCCCCTCAACCAACGACAGCTATAATAATTAATAATAATAATAATAATAATAATAATAATAATAATAATAATAATAATAATAATAATAATAATAATAATAATAATATAATTATTAATTATTTTAATAATAATAAGTAAGTAATTATCAAAGGCAGGCACCAAACCGGGAAAGCTATGTAGCACCACCAAATAAATGTCCGGAGTAATCAGAGGGCGCTAAATATTACTAAGGATGCCAATACGAGAACAGAAACCCATAAGGCGAACGATTTCAAAAGTATCCGATTCACCAAGAATTCTATCGAGAGACAATTGACCACAAGGGACGGTCGGAAAGCAAGATACACGCTTGTCCTGGAAGTCAGGACATTCAACAAGAATGTGTACACCATAAGAGGAAAAATGCAATATGGACAATAAGGAGCAGGGCGGTGCTCCATTAAGTGACCGTGAGTTAAACGTGTATAGCCAATACGTAACCTAGCCAGAGCCGTTTCCCACCGCCGGTTATGGAAGTAGGAGGAAGGCCTAGCATGAACAAAGCATACAAACAACATATGAAGCACAACCATGCACGAATCGAAGCCCAAATGACACTCCCAGAGCCCGCCCAGTTATTTAACCAGAGCCCGACCAGTTGTGTAACCGGAGCCTGACAACTTGTGTAACCAGACCCCGACCAGTTATATAGCCGCAAGCCTAGCATGAACGAACTGAACAAACAACCTCTGAAGCACAACCATGCATGAACCAAAGCCCGACCATGCACAACCCGAAGCCCAAGTGACACCCCTGGAGCCCGACCAGTTATATGTACCTAGAGCCCGACCAGTTGTGTAACTGGACTCCCACCAGCTGTGTAACCGCAAGCCTAGCATGAGCGAAGCAAACAAACAATTCAATACACACAAACATCTGAAGCACAACCATGCACGAACCGAAGCCCGACCATGCACAACCCGAAGCCCAAGTGACACTCCTGGAGCCCAACCAGGTATTTAACTGGAGCCCGACCAATTGTGTAACCGGAGCCCGACCAGTTGTGTAATGTGTCCGGACGACGGACAACGTGGGAAGGAAGAGCTGTATGCACCTACTGTCAGGAGAGGTCCTCTGCTTCAGTTCAAAACCCTTGGAATAATTAAGCATACTGTACCGGCCATTGATTTTAAGGAAAAGAAGTTAGTGATTCAATTGTACGCCCTGGTGCGCCCCTATTTGGATGACTGTATCCAAGCACAGAGACAGGGCAAATCTCATTGAAACTTTTAACATTCTGAACAATTTGGAGGATGTTTATTAATTTCTTCAAAAGAACAGATGTAACACGAACAAGGAGTAACGGTTTCAAGTTCAACAAGATACTATGTAGAACTGAAAACAGTTTTTTTATCCACACTGTTATAAACCCGTGGAACCGCCTACCCGCAGAAGCCGCAAATGACAAAAAACTGTAAAACTTTAAATCCAGCTGAAAAAGATCACCAAAGCAAATGGGAGGGGACCTTTGACAAGCCGCCGGCTTCTTGTCCTCGTCGAGGCCACTAGTGTTAGTGGCCTTCAGGTAAATTCGGATAAATACCCACACACAAAAAAAGAAATGATGGCATATGAAATTATACATATATATAATTGTTATCCCAAAAATGTTTCATTTTCTTTGATTCCGAATTTTCTAAAATAATAATAAACGTTAGAGCATCATACGACGATAACACTGTCAAAATTCGGTTCAAAAATCACGCTCAGGAGTCAAATTTCCGACATTTCAGATATTTTGAAAACTGCAGGGGGGTTTGGGCAAAATATGACTCATCGCCGTTTTCAGTAATTGGCATATTTTCGGTGTAAAAAGTCGTAATTTGAAAATGAAAATAGGTGCAGAGAGTCAGCATTCGGCTCAAAAATCACGCTCAGGAGTCAAATTTTGGACATTTCAGATATTTTGAAAACTGCAGGGGGGTTTGGGCAAAATATGACCCATCGCTGTTTTCAGTAATTGGCATATTTTCGGTATAAAAAGTCGTAATATGAAAATGAAAATAGGTGCAGAGAGTCAGAATTCGGCTCAAAAATCACACTCAGGAGTCAAATTTTCGACATTTCAGATATTTTGAAAACTGCAGGGGGGTTTGGGCAAAATATGACCCATCGCTGTTTTCAGTAATTGGCATATTTTCGGTATAAAAAGTCGTAATTTGAAAATGAAAATAGGTGCAGAGAGTCAGAATTCGGCTCAAAAATCACGCTCAGGAGTCAAATTTTCGACATTTCTGATATTTTGAAAACTGCAGGGGGGTTTGGGCAAAATATGACCCATCGCTGTTTTCAGTAATTGGCATATTTTCGGTATAAAAAGTCGTAATTTGAAAATGAAAATAGTTGCAGAGAGTCAGAATTCGGCTCAAAAATCACGCTCACGGGTCAAATTTCCGACACTTCAGATATACTGATTGACTTCAATCCCATACTGATTGACCTAGCTGAGTTTGTGTAGAAAATATACAGCTTGCCAATCAGTAATGCCCTGGTTGAACGGATATTTTCGAGAGTAACGTCTGTGAAAACTAAACTGAGAAATCTTGAATGGGAATGGGACTTGAGCTTTTGACATCAGTCTTGAGAATCAAAACATATCTTGAGGAAAATGTAACTTGTTACTCGTCATTTGAACCACTCATGTCAATGCTTAAATATGAATCTGCAATATACAAGAACGAGGTTGTGGATACAGATCAAGATCTTGGTAATCTTCAACTGTAAATTGTAGATCATTGTAAATTGTAGATCAACTGTAAATCATTGTAGCGTTTATTTCGTGTGAAATTCTCGCTGACATTGATTTTACAGGAAAGAGATGGTTGGGTAACTGCAATTTATCTGTACTTAAAATACTTTTGACAGTCCCAGATAAGAGGTTGTTCTGGAAACTGAAATATACTGGAGGGGTGACTTGGAGATATGTTACAAGTGGTGTACCACAGGGTTCAGTTCTTGCACCAGAAATGTTCATTATCCATATGAATGATCTACCAGAAAGAACACAGGATTATATGAACATGTTTGCTGATGATGCTTAGCTACTAGGGAAAATAAGAAACTTAGACAATTGCCATCCCCTTCAAGATGACCTGGACAAGATAATATATATATATATATATATATATATATATATATATATATATATATATATATATATATATATATATATATATATATATATATATATATATATAATGATATGTTCTATATCATCAGAAAATTGGAAACAAAATATAGTTACAAATATTTGTCATTAAAGTATTTATTTTGGAAACAGAGGTGTATTTTAGTTACCCTAATATAGAGCACAAATATCATAGACTCATCATGTGAATGGTAGTTTATTGTGCACCCCATACTCATCCTGTAAGTCATAGTACATTTGAAACCCTTTCTCATCGTGTAACTCTTTGTGTTCTCCATGCTCATCCTCTGTGCGATAGATTCTTGTGATGCAACCCATACTCATCCTGTGAGTGGTAGTTCATTGTGTACCCTATATTCATCCTGTACTCATACTCATCCTCATTATTTTTGCACCCCATACTCATCGTCAAGAAGTGTATTTTATCGGCATGGTACCTTACCTTGAGGTTACCTTGAGGTGCTTCCGGGGCTTAGCGTCCCCGCGGCCCGGTCGTCGACCAGGCCTCCTGGTTGCTGGACTGATCAACCAGGCTGTTGGACACGGCTGCTCGCAGCCTGACGTATGAGTCACAGCCTGGTTGATCAGGTATCCTTTGGAGGTGCTTATCCAGTTCTCTCTTGAACACTGTGAGGGGTCGGCCAGTTATGCCCCTTATGTGTAGCGGAAGCGTGTTGAACAGTCTCGGGCCTCTGATGTTGATAGAGTTCTCTCTCAGAGTACCTGTTGCACCTCCGCTTTTCAACGGGGGTATTCTGCACATCCTGCCATGTCTTCTGGTGTCATGTGATGTTATTTCTGTGTGCAGGTTTGGGACCAGCCCCTCTAATATTTTCCACGTGTAAATTATTATATATCTCTCCCACCTGCGCTCAAGGGAGTACAGATTTAGGCTCTTTAGTCGGTCCCAATAGTTTAGGTGTTTTACTGAGTGAATTCTAGCAGTAAAGGATCTCTGCACGCTCTCCAGGTCAGCAATTTCTCCAGCTTTGAAAGGGGCTGTCATTGTGCAGCAGTACTCCACTCTAGATAGCACAAGCGTTTTGAAAAGTATCATCATCGGTATAGCATCTCTAGTGTGAAAAGTTCTTGTTATCCAACCTGTCATTTTTCTTGCAGTTGTGACGGCTACTTTATTAATTGTGTTCTTTAAAGGTAAGGTCTTCCGACATGAGTACACCCAGATCCTTTACATTGCCTTTTCGTTCTGTGTCATGATTTGCCTGAGTTTTGTACGTGGTTTCCGTTTTTATATTTTCATTTTTTCCATAGCGCATGAGTAATATAAATTAATAATATAGGCTTTACTCCACCCAAGTAAAACAGAAACAAGCAACACTTAGTGGGCCAGCCGAGTTTACGGACCCATAATCAAAATAAGAGCCATCACTAATTATCATGACAAATGGCTGGGAGTCAAAATCCACCACTCACTGAAAGTTGCACAACAGGTAG